GGTACAGCCTTGATGGGGCTGTACTCAACTACAGCCAGGACGAGAAAAAAGATCAAGACTAGACTTGCGATTCTTTGTGGTTTGTACCACAGGGGACCTGTGGATGGCAACCGGCGTTCCCCTGTGTGACACCCCTCCCGAAAGTGCTCGGCGAGCTGTGCAGGATTCCTAGTGGGCTCCGCCTGTGGCTCCATCCCACACACAAGGCTGAGTCCACAGGGAGGATTTAAAGAGCAGACATAATGAAGCGCTTACTGACTGGCACTCCTGGTTCCCGCCCACTCCGGGGAGCATCCTTGGCTCTGACACTAAAGGCTCTTCAGGGTTTAATCCTTCTCAAATCCAGGACTTAAACCACGGTGGCCTGCTTATTCTCCCTTGCCCTGAGCCTTTTGGTGGTCATCTTAGCATGATATCCTTCCCTGGCCAACTCTAAGGATATGGCTAGCAGCCTGGGTGATGTAACCACGGTAGCGAATGCTTGTTGGGTAAGGCAGGGGGAACTTCTTCAGGTAAGCCAGAGAGGGGGTTTTCAGAGAAACCTCATCTGGTGTGGGTAGGGGTACATGGTTTTGAATACAGCTTAGAGTGGTAGCCCTAATCTATCCTAACTATTCCAGCTCTCCAGGGCCACTGGAGAAAGAGCCTGGTCCCACCCTACATCAGACTCAGCAGGCCCTAAGATAATACTGTCAAACGCTGGATTACCAAAGAAAGCCAGAGGTACTCAGCTTATTCCTGGAGCTGGAGACCCTGTGGAACCCTCTAAGGAATGCAGGCGTAAGACCAAATGATAACACCAGGGGTCACTGTGACAAGGGAAAGATGAAAGGGGAAGACAGCAGGATTAGAAGTGACAGCCAAGGATCCCGGAAGGGTCCCATGCACCCTTTGAGGTTCTCGGGCCACGAGAGCCTGTCCTTTGTGCCAGGTAACCTAATACAAACACCTACCCTGCCCTGCCAGGCTCTGCCGCCTCTCAGGTAACAAGCACAAAACAATAAACAAACACTGCGGAAAGCAGCCTCATGCTGCCCCTGCGGCTGGCAGTGTGTCACCCCAGGAAGAATCAATCACAAGGTCACACTATGGCTCATGGGAGGCCTGGCAAGTCCGCACAGTCTTATCCAGTGCCCTCAAAGGGTTAACAAGGAGGCAGTGTTATCATTCTTGTAGATTCCATGAAGAAACTAACCCCAGATATAGAATTAACCACCTTGCTCAAGGTCAGGGCAACCACTGGGCCTGGGACTCCAATCACAAGGCTGCAAAGGCTACACAGACATTGCCCCCCACAGGCCTGCTAGGCAGGGCTGAGCCATACTCTGAAATACTTGGGGACCAGTCCTAGAGAGAAGCCCGAGTTATGCCCTAAGGTTGGAAAATGGAGATGCTTCCCAAACTAGGTTACTCAGAGAGTGTGATTGGCAAAACTAGCTCTGCCCACAGCTCACCGAAGCCCAGCAGCACAGCCAACGGTGTCAAGGCATGGGAGGAGAATCCAGGCCTTTCCTCCCAAGCCACAGAATGGCATAGGCCTTCAGGACGCCCCCCCCCCCACCGCCACTGTGGGCACGCACACACACAGAGACACACAGACACACACACCCCATTGGCTAACTTTCCCCTAGACCTCGTCCCCAAGTGGAATGCAAGGTCATGGTAGACAAATGCTAACAGAAGAGCTGCTAAGAACTTGGGTGGAGAAAGAAAGGAAGCAAACGAGGCCATTGGACAGGAGTTCACACCGGACAGAGCTGTGTGCAACAAACAGAACTCAGCCCAAAGGCTGTCTGGGTTCCACAGGTCACTGTGCTGGGGTTCTGAAGAAGTCCAAGCAATCAAGGAAGACATTTCAACAGCAGTGTCTCAGTTCCTTGCCTCCACTCAGCACATAAGGCAGTGCTTCTGTTCCCTCCCTCATCCCCAGACCAAGTCAGAAGCCTCAGGCTCAATCAGGCATCATCAGTTATCCAGAAACCTGGGAAGAAGTTTCAGAGTAACCTCCACACAATACAGCCCTTGCAGTCCTAGATGGACAGTCTTTATCAGTTCCTAGCTGCTGCAGGCTCCTAGTGCTCAGCACCACTTTAGAAAATGCAAGCAGAACTCAGCCTGTGCTTTGAGTCCCAGCATCAGGATGCAGCCCATATAAATGATACAGGGATGTCCATCAACCCTGCCTCTCCTGGTAGGTTACAGACCCTGACCCCAGGGTCCAACCTGTGCCTGTTAGTCTGGGTTGACCCAGAGCTTCCTGGAAAGGGAAGTATCTTAAAACTGACCATAGGAATCAGCAGCCTGTGGGTACCTCGTGTCCTTGGTCCTTCAGAAACCTCAGCTGGTAAGATGTCATGAGAGGAGAATGGAGGACAGGGAATGCTGGGTAAGAACATTTCCACCACACAATTGGTGTGGTCTAACAAAAGGTGTGTGTATGTGTGGGTGTCTGTGTGGATGCATTATATATATGTGTGTGTGTGTGTGTGTATCTGTGTGTGTACATGTGTATTGTGTGTGTATGTATGTGTATATGTATATCTGTGTGTACATGTGTATTGTGTGTGTATGTGGTATGTGTATATGTGTGTATGGGGGGTTCTTGTGTGTCTATGTATGTGTACATGGTGGTCTGAATGAAATTGGTACTATAAGTTTGTAGGGTGTAGCGCTATTAAGTAGGTGTGTACTTGATGGAAGAACGTATCTCTGGGAGCGGGCTTTGCAGTTTCAGATGCTCAAGCCAGGCCCCCCCTCCCTCTCTCTCTTCCTGCTGCCTGCCTATCCAGATATACAACTCTCAGCTACGTCTCCAGCACCATGTCTGCCTGCACTCCTCCATGCTTCCCACCATGACAGTATTGGACGGAACCTCTGAACTGTAAGCCAGCTCCAATCTGTTTTCCTCAAGGGTTACTGTGTTCCTGATAGGTGGGACCAGGGACCCATGGGACCAAGAGAAGCAGGCATGGATCATGAGTGGGTTTGAGGCACGTCCTGGAAATCTTGTCCTGAGATCAGCCTGCATGTCCCAGAGCATGTAGTCCTCTGCCACACTCCCACCTCTGCCCCACCTGAGGAGGTCAAGTAGCCGGTTACCAGGTTAAACTTCCCTTCCCCTTCTAAGGACACGCTCAGCAGCACCTGGAATTCCTCTGCATGCTAGCGAGGCCGCCTCAGCAGCTTGGGCTTGGCCAACGATGTACATTCACCCATAGCTCCTACTCACCCGCAAAGGTTTAAATAGCCTTTGTTCTCCCAGTTAAACAAGCTGTCTCACTCATGCCTTCTCCCAAGTCTGTTCCTGCCGCCTAAGGTCTGTGTGTGTGTGTGTGTGTGTGTGTGTGTGTGTGTGTGTGTGTGTGT